CGACGTTCGCGGCGATATGTAACATGTGCGGCGTAATGGGCGCAATCGTCGGTTTTTGCACGTATGCGCCCCCGACGCATGTTTGCATGCGTGTATGTATGGGTGGGGACTTAAAAAAAATTTACATTTTTTTTTTTGTCTTTTTTATGGGTAACTTTACATTTTTTGGGGGGGGAACTTACATTTTTTTCCCTTCTTTTACTAAACTTTATTGCTATCACATACGAGGCTAATAAAAAACCCCTTATGTGATAGCAAAATATGTGACAGGTCCTCTTTATGGAGACATCAGGGGTCTCCAAGACCCCTAATGTCACCTAGGACCCCCCAAAAGAAGCTGATGAAGCACAGATCTGCTCCATCAGCTTCTTTCATTTTAAATTTCGGTCGTTTCCCGCTCGCGCACACGAGGGGGCGTGTCTGAGCGGACGTCTAAAGACGCCCGCTCAGATCTAGAGAGCTCCGGGCCGGCCGTTTTTTTACTACGGACGGCCCGGAAGTGGTTAATAGCGGCAGAGATAAAATCTAATCCATTTATGAAGTGCATTGTTTTTAAGGAAATTGTCAAAATACAACTATGTAGCCCTGCAGAGCAGGAAGCCGCCCTCATGTACATTTTAAAATGTTTTCAACATATTAAGCCATGTTGATTGACATCAGGTCAGGAAGGAAAATGCTCAAAGCCTGCATGTTACCTCTGTGTTGGAATAGTAAGTGTTCCAGGAGGATCGCAGGGATTCTTGGCCTCCGATGTCCCACATCAAGAAGTGTGTATTCTTTACGACTATTTCTTCTACATTACTTCCTATGGTTGGAGACGTGTGAACCACTTCATTCATTAAACTGCAACGAAAAGAAGAGTTTAGAAGAAAACATTCTATAAAACTTGTGCAAAGGTGAATAACTCTACTACATTCCCGAAGCTGAAAGGACAGCACATACGCAAGCTAGCTTTTTTTTCCGAACACGTATATGGTTAATACAGCGAGGAGGAGGCAGCAAGTTACCTTTATTTACTGCAACATTCTATGGGTGTAGAAATTTGAGGCTATGCCCTAAATACTTACAACTGGTAAAGAATAGTGGTTTTTCCTGCATTGTCAAGCCCAACGATGATCACCTTGTGCTCTATAGAAAAAGAAAAATGTGATTAGTTAATAGAAACAAAAATGGGTTTTTTGATACAAGTGACAAACGTTCAATGCACATATACCTACAAGATCCAAATATCAGTGTAGAAAGTGTAGAAAGTGTAGAAAGTGTAGAAAGTGTAGAAAGTGTAGAAAGTGTAGAAAGTGTAGAAAGTGTAGAAAGTGTAGAAAGTGTAGAAAGTGTAGAAAAATACCGATTTGTTCTTATCGATTACTGCACAATCCTCTGTCTAACTGATTTATTATTATTGTTATTATACAGGATTTATAACAGTTTGCGCAGCACTTTACAATATAAGGAAGACATTACAATCACAATACAATTCAAGACAAGATGGCGAGGGCCCTGCCCCTGAGGGTTTACAATCTAAAAGGGAGGGGCAAGCGATACATGAGGAGATGGATGTGTGGGGATGAATTGTTTGAGAACGTGATGGTTGAGCGGTTAGTTTGAGGTGGGATAGGCTTCCCTGAAGAGATGAGACTTAAGGGATCGCCTAAAGGCAGTCAAAGTGGGAGATAGTTGGTCAGGTTGGGGTATTCCAGAGGATGGGAGAGACTCTACAGAAGTCCTGGAAGCGAGCATGGGTGGACGAGGGAGCTGGAAAGCAGGAGGTCTTGGGAGGAGCGGAGGGGACAGTTAGGGTGATACTTTGAGATATAGCCGGGGGCAGAGTTGTGGATGGCTTTGCAAGTTAATATTTTGAATTGTATATTTTGGGGGCTATTGGAAGCCAGTGTAGTGATTGGCAGAGGGGGGTCGCAGACACTGAGTGGTTGGTTAGGTGAATGAGTCTAGCAGCAGCATTTATGATAGACTGAAGGGGAAATAAACCCAACAGCAGAATATAACCAGAAAACGGGAAGTATTAAAATTCTACCCAACAGAAAGCCGCTGGCGTGAGTGATAAGATGTAAGAACACATACAGCAGTTAATTATGAAGACATTGTGAAGACTTGCCACAAGAATGGATTGTGTGGTAGAGGAAGATCCCATGCACTTAACAGGACCCACAACTAGCATAAGCCTCGTCATCATAAACATTAGTTCTCTGAACCAATTTAACAGAAAACCTAGATGAAGCACAGTTATGATTTATGACACACACAAGGAAATTGATCTTTTAATGCCTTGAAGGCTACGCTCGCACCTTGTTTTTCAAGCAATATGTCAAGAAATATCCTACTTGCTGCAATCTGGGGCGCTTTCCAGAAAGACTCACCACACTGCACACAAAAAATAAAAGGCTAAATGGAGCTTTAAGGAGTGGCACAAAAAGAAAACGTTTTGTATACTCTGTTTAAACCATACGTATGCAGTCGTGCACAGAAAAATGCAGCTAAAAACAGACATGGTGTGAACAAGACATAGGACGGCATAGTTATTTACACTAAAGTAATCCTGAGCTGCATTTTAAACTTCCCCAATCAGGCAAGCAATCCCACTAGACCTGTAACCCCAGAACGTCACCCAGAAGTGACATGTTCGTTACCAGTGCTAGCTGGTGGACTTCGTCAGCTCCTGGCTTCTCACAGCACGACCTCCCTGCCATAATTTCCAAATATGTGTGTGTTCACCTGCTTGTTATGGCTTTTCTCACTACATCAGTAACGCAGAGATCTCGCCAACAGTCCCTCCAATGGTAAACTAAACTATAGGATGGTTTAAACGCACTATTACCTACCATGAACTGAAATATCAGATATGGGTGTAATGTCCCTTTAAATGGACAATCTTTAGTACCAAAAAAAAAATTGTATGTACAAAAGTTCAAGCTTTAATGTCCATTAGAACTGGGGTAATATTTGCTTTAACCCCTTCATGACTGAGACCTTTTTTTAATTTTTTTGTACCCATGTTATATTCCACATTTTAGGCCTGAAAATTACTTAAAACCCCCCAACATTATATATTTTCTGAATGCCAAGACCCTATAGAATAAAATGGTGGTAGTTGCAAATTTTTATGTTGCGCAATATTAGCGCAACTCCTTATTAAAACCCAAATTTTTGTTGAAAAATGTAATTAAATGCCCCAAAACACAACAAAATACCCATTTTTTTAATGAAATATAAAAGATGAGGTTACAACGAGTAAAACGATACCCAACATGCCCAGGTTACAAATTGAGTGCATCCGTAAAACGGCGAAAAACCCCAGTACCCCAAAAAGTCCATAGAAGATGCTTTATAAAAACAGGTAAGTCGCCAGGATCTCTTCTGTTGTAAAGCCGACAGTCGGCTCTACAAGTTTAAACAGAGTCCCGGCGGCAAAAGTCACCGGGAGTCTGTTTAAACAGCCCCGATGCTGGCGACGTACACTGTACGTCGTCAGTCACGAAGGGGTTAACCGGGGACTCTGATGTAGTAAACATCCTTTACACAGTTCCTCTAGGCATACACAGAGTGCGCGCACACGCACTCCTGTGTCTTAGGATTAGGTCACACACACACACACAGTTCTGTGTCTTAGGGTTAGGTCACACACAGTTCTGTATCTTGTCTCTAGGTCACAATTGAAATTCTGGGCTTTTTGGACTCAAAACCATAGTGTTCTTTTGAAACCACAATGATGCCAAAAAAAGCAAACTGCATGCAACAACAGTATAAGGGGCTGCACACAACACAAAGAAAATCGGATTGGCTGTTATGAATATGAGGACAAAGAAACAGAGAGGATCTCTATAATTTAGCCTCCGTGCATCCTACTGTAATCCCTGGTTTTTACTACTAAAAATCCTCAAAGGAAGCCCAGGCTACACACAGGTAGAACCATCTTGACTCACCAGCTATAAAACACAGCCCTCTGGATAAGAAGCACACAACACTAACAGGAGATAGATATGGATTCAAATTGGAAAGCAGCCTGGGTTTTTCAGACTTTATATAACCCGGAAAAGACAGGAAAAACCTCACTTGGATAACATCCAAAAAGAGTGTGTGTATATATCTATCGATATATCTATATAAAAATATATACATTTTTTTTTTGCTTAAAATGGTCTTACAGGTGCGTTCTATGCGTTTGATGCGTTCCAGTGCATTCCAGACCAGACAAAATAGGACAAGCAGTATTTTTCTGGTCTTTTCCGGAATGGACTGCCCTGGTGGGAACAGAGGACAGAAATAGCATAGGGATACATTGGGATGCATTTTGGGTCCGGAAACAGTCTGGTCATAATCTGGATGTGGTGTGAATGGGCCCTAAAACAGGGGATGGCAAACTCCAGCCCTCCAGCTGTGGTGAAATTACTAATCCCATCATGCTTCTGCGAGTCATGCCTGTGGATGTCAGTCCTGTAACGTCTAATGGAATTTGTAATTAAACAGCACCTGGAATGACAGTGTTTGCCTTCCCTTGGTATAAAACATACAGAACCACACAATAGCCTTCTGAGTTCCAAAAGTAACATAGCGATACCAGTAAGACACTGGTTGGAAGAGAAAGGCACTAGGGCTGCAGCTAATGATTATTTTCATAATCGATTAGTTAGCCGATTATTAAGTTCGATTAATCGGTTAATCAGATTTAAAAAAAGGCTCCAGTGATGGACTACTAGTTTCTATTGAGATTGTAGTCCATCACGGGAGCAAACTTGGCGCGGTGAAAGTAAAAAAAGTGTGGCGCGCAATATAGTACATTACACAGCGGCTCAGTGCAGAATACCAGCAGCTATAGAGGAATGCAGCAATAGTACATTATACTATAATGTACTATTGCTGGGATTTGTAGTCCTCTGTAGCTGGAGTTATTCTGCATTGCGCTGTATATAATGTATTATTGCTGGGATTTGTAGTCCTCTATAGCTGGTGGTATTCTGCAGTGTGCTGTATAATGATTATACTGCACAATGCAGATTACCAGTGACCAGTTATAGAGGAACTACAAATCCCAGCAATAATACATTATACAGCGCGATGGAGAATACCACCAGCTATAGAGGAACAACAAATCCCAGCAATAATACATTATACAGGGTGTTTAATATATTATTGCTGGGATTTGTTGTTCCTCTATAGCTGCTGGTGTTCTACAGTGTGCCGCTTTTTTTGTTTTTTAAACAGGAAACATTAAAACAGGTCCCCCTTACCTGTTTCTGAACCATTGTAAGTCGCTGCAGCAGCGGCGGCGGCGTGCTCTGCAGGCGTGTCCGGTGGCCGTGTGCGCGGTGGGCATAGCGTCCGCAGCGTGCATAGCGTAACTCGTGTATGGAGCTGCGAACAGGCGGGCGTGAGTGGGAAATTTTAATTTTAGCGTCCGAATCGAAGATGGAAAACGCTGACAACGTTTGCCATTGTCGATTTTAATCGACTTCATCTAATAATTGTTGCAGCTCTACAAGGCACGCTATGGCCATGTAAAGAGAACTGGCCTATTAGTATTTTTGTGGACCTTGGAAGAAACCCAAACATAGAACTGAGCTGTAACTTTTATGATTATTTTCATAATCGATTTGTTGGCCGATTTTTTTAATTAAAATCGGATTAGAAAAAATAAAACATCCTTAAATACACAAATGGAGTGTTACAAAGTTTACTTCAGAATAAAACTGCATGCACATTTTTTTTTGCAATCGCATTGCAATAGAACGCACGGCATTGCAGGACTGTGCATTCCACTGTGGGCATTTTTCAGGGTGAAATGAATGACACTGCAAAGCACCTCCCGCAGCAGAATTTGTCAGGCCGAAACCGAGAATGACTTCTCACCTTTTATTTTTTTTAAATAACTGTTTGGTAAGCACATGGCGCTTTAATTGCTTCAGCCAGGGAATGACGGCTGCCAGTGGCAGATTCCACAGACAGCAGTAGTCGAATTTAAATACAGTAGGTAGAGGGGCAGTGCAATAGCCAGCTTTCTAGTGGCCATTTCAAATTGCAAAAGCCAATAGAAGGCCAACTGATTATTATGTATCGATTAGTTGGTTGCAGTCCTACATAGTCCATAAACATATATGGCGAGAACATGCTACCTCCATGCAGCTGCTTTTGTAAGTCACATGCAGAAACTTGGCACTGCAAGGCATCAATGCCAACTACTAAGCAACTAAACTGATCTTAAAAAGACTGGACCAAAAAAAAAAAGTATGCCATGAGAATGATTGGACTCTTTAGTGTAAAAACCCTCTTCCAATGATCATGAGGATATGTAGACAAGGGTCTGGGCATATTGAATTGTACACGACAGCAACCTCCAACACACAAGAGTGAGGCGCTAATCAACATTCCCAGGTGCTCATCCGGCTGGTATGGCAACAATACACACTGCCAACCCAAGGCCAAAACTTTTCATCACAAGGTCAAAGCTGTGCCCTTCCATATACATGGCCACGCGAGGCAGACAGAATCATCTTGCTGATGGGAGTATTAGTTTGTACATGTCGCCTTGTGTTTTGCTTCACCACAACCTGATTTTGCAGTTATGATAAAAAACTATTTCAAGTATGGACAAGACGTTTTCCGTATACGAACTCAGGCGGGTAAAAATGCAGAAAATGTCGCTTTCGTGAAGGATGTTTCTTAAAAAAAAAAATCACATCCATCAGAAGTGGGGTATGAAAGGTGAAATGATTGCTGCAGAATGCACATGTGTCTGCCAGAGTTCTAGCTGTGCCAGATCTGTGTAAAAAGGTAGTTTCAGGAAATGTTTCCCTATTTCAATTTCTGTTTTGATTTAACTGTTGCACTTAAGGGTCACGGGAGGACATATACTAACCTCCTCCCGTGACCAAAGCTCAGTATATTGCCATCTACGGCTCGCGGTATACTGAGACCGCCACAGCCGGGATGGATCCTGACATTACTATCGAGATCCACCAAGCTGCATGAGTGACAGCTGGCTCTGCCTATCTAGAGGAAGAGCCAGCTGTGCCCACCCCCTCCCCTGTCCGTTCCTCCACTCAGCGCTGGAGGACTGGAGCGGGGCAATCCCTGCAGAGAGCTGTGATTGACAGTCACCGCTCTCTGTAGGGTGATGGTCGAGAGCGACGGTCTGTGTTTGAGACGACGTGTGAAAGTTTCATTGTCACACGTCGGCTCGAACTATGAGAATGAGTGTAAATCACTCACCTCATAGGTCTCCTTTAAGGAGAAGTACTGGGAGAGTAAAATATACTCTTCCCAATACTTACAGGCGGCATCAGACACTGCATCCATCACAAGCAATCATGTAACTTTTGAGCATTCAGCTCACATTCGACTCCACAGAGCGGTAACTGTCAGTCAACCTCCCCCTCCCGTCTCGGTTCGTCCAGTGCTCATTGGACAGATGATGGGGTGGGCACAGCTGGCTGTGGCGAGGTAGAGCCAGCTGTCAGGCAGCAGGGTAGATCCCAACAATATTGTTTAGAATGATCCTTGCTGGCTGCAGAGGGGGGTATTAGCCGGCTATGTGGTGACTATGGGTCACAGGAGTAGATTAATAAACACTTTTGAGGCCCAGCAGATAAGTAAAGCCAAAAAAATTTTTTACTTCTCTTAAAGAAAATACAGATCTACACATGCTTTGGGCAGATATTTGCAGAAAGATCCTGTGTATAAAAAAAGATGCATTAATTGGTCTGTAAAATGCTTCCAAATATACGTACACAGTCATACAGGTATACAGTGTATATAGTCATGTACAAATTCTACTTTCAATGCATTAAATGGACGCACATACACGTTTCTATAGATGCATTTATTATGGAACTCGGATGCAGATTATTCTATTTTGATTTTACAGACCTGAACGCAGCGCAAACTTCACTGATTTTTACACACCGTGTGCATGAGCCCCCATAGGAGACAACAGGAATGCATTCAGATCACCATTGACAAAAACATTGCACTTTTTGCAGATGTGTGCAGGAAACCTAAGAGTAATAAAAAACTCTCCAAGGTACCAATACAAACATATGAGCAGCAGAACCATTACTAAGAACTGTGTGGGAAGTGCACAAGCCAGTTACACAATAAATTAAAACAATTCATGTTAACTCATTAATTTTGAAGGTCTCTCCAACAAACCAAAACAAACAGATGTGGACCATCTATCTGTAGGTTGCGATGCCTTGCATTAAAAATGGCGCAGGTCATTTTTTTGTGTCAAAACATTTCTTCATTAAGGAGCTGCTTTAATACACAAACACATGAATAGGCCCTTAGGGCTTGTTCACACCATGGTCAGAGCAGAACTGCAAACGCGGTGCAGTGCGTTGGAAGAGTTACCTTGCATTTTATTTTTTAGCTTAAATTGGGCTTTCAGGTGCAGTCCAATGAGTTGCGTTGGCATGCGTTTTTGATGCATTTACATGCATTTTGGAGCTTTCCAGACTAGGGCTGCTGGACACAGCAATGAGACAGGTTTACACCTACTTTCCACAACTCACAGGCTTAGTGTATGCTTTCACAAAGTCAGCTGTCTCCTCTGGTGAATGCACGTGTCAATACTCAATGACACTTTGCTGACCACACCATAGAAAAAAACATTCTGGATGGGCTTAAATACTTCAGCCCATGAAGGGTCAACCTCCATTGACACATCCACCCCACAGAAAGAACTAGTGTCCCTATGGAAACAGTTGAACAATCACCACTGAATGGAGCTTCTGAGATCAGAAATGGTCAGATGGGGGTTGGGGGTGCTAAATCAATACAATCCCAGGAGTGCAGCTCCCCTGGAAGAGGGTACAGATATTAGCGGCGGAGCATCAAATCTTGCTCACGGGGTTTGCAATCGGAGCTTTACACTCGGCTTCGTTCAATATTACGTAAAAGTAACACGGGACATTTTACTATTCAATGAAAGGGGACTTTTGTGCTAGCAATCCCAAAGGGGATTTTACATCGCACACCTGAACCCCACCCAGTTCCATTGGCATGTTAGACAAGCACACGGCACCGCCTAGCAAACGCGACATAAAACTTGCCGCGGCGTGTGTACAAACCCGAGAAGCCGCCATCTTATGTTCTAGGTGGGCTCCCAGGGAGCAGTAAGAACGCAGATCAAGCGCCTGTTTCTACCACAAGGCCTCCGTGCTGCGCTCAGCTGCGTACAAAACCGCTCGCTGTATGTAAACGCGGCCTTTATACAGCACGTGCGAACTAAACGTACATGTACACAAATTACCGACCTCAGATTTTTCCATTTTGATTTTACGGAACTGAACGCTGCACAGGTTTTCTGGTCATTTCGTACTGTGTGCATGGAGATAACACAACTGCGTTCAAATCCATAAAAAAAAACCAAAAAAAACCCACCTACTATACTTAGAAAAATGCACATTTTTAGCTGCCGTATGTAGGAGCCCTTAGCCCACATTCACACACCATGACGCTCCCAGAACACACGCCACATTCGCGCATGCATGTCTGTGTGCTGCATTTGCAGTGCATCCCCATTGAGGTCAGCGGGGTCCTGAACCCCACAACAAATCAAGTAGTACATTTTGCGACATGCGTTTCACATTTTTATGCACACATTCCTGGCCACGTAGGGGATGCCATTAGAAATTAATGGCATTATAAGCGGGTTCCGCAGAGTCTGTCAATATGCACCAAAGCATGCAATTTTGTGCACATTTGGCGCATGCTCACAGAACACATAGGTGTGAATGCAGGCTACTGCAATAATTACAATATCGCCCATACACAGGGTATTGTTAATGCAGACATTATGTGCAGATGACCCCCACTGAGCAAAGGACAGCCCCCGGCCATGACAGGAGCAGGCGCTTTGTTCAGTCAGGCTCACACACAGCCGAGTACAGCTCACTCGCCTTGGTTGCAGAAGAAGTTCCACAGCTTCGCGAAGATAAGGCCCATGGCGACAGAAGGCGGCCCGGCTTTCCCCTGGCTCTCTCACACAAACATGACGAAGCTCCGTGCAGCGTCAGGCCTCCATCCGCACATCTCACCCTCCAGGGACCGCACAGCTCTCGCTCCCAGCCGCCGCCGCCACCACAGCTGCCTCCTTATAGCTGCGTGCGCGCTCACAGCCACGGATTTACCTCAGCCGGCGTCTGACGTGCGTGTGATAGGCCAGTGACGTCAGCAGCAGTTCATTGGCCTCCCGGCGCATTGACTGAAGGATACGCGACCTCGCCCACGGGACTTGGAGGATGCGATACTCAGCGACCAATCATAGGCTGGCGTTCCGCGCACGCCCACGCAGGGAGCGATACACTTTTATCGCTGATTGGCTGCTCCGCCCTAGGCAGATGTGATCCAAATGTCCATTGGCTGTTAACTGCCATGCTGGTGAAGCGTGAGTGCTGATTGGCTAGCCTGCACTGTAGTAACGTGATCTGATTGCTGATTTGCCGATTGGGTGTTACTGGCTGCATGACCTGTACAGGCGAGGAGCTGCTGGTACTCTGTGAGACCTTGACTGATGGTTAAAGCGGGCCTGTACTTAAAGGACAGCTACCTGTACCACTTTTAAAAAAAAACAAGTTATTTGTTGTCATACTTCACAATCTGATTGCGTATACATTGCACTGCTTAGATAAACCATTGTGCTACATAGTTGTTGGCAAATCTAAAGGAGTGCAGCCATTGGTGAGTGACCCGCCCTAAAATGAACCCAGACTCACTGACACACCAGTAACATAAACTGGGCTTTATTAACCTATTGTGACAAAAAATTGCATATGTGCGGCACCACGGCAGAAATATATATTCCCCCCCTGTCCCAGAGACACAACAGGAAGTTAGGAAATCTTCCAAAGTGGGGACAATAACCATCTTAGGCCTTATTCACAAAGGAGGCAGTTAGTCCACAATTTCTCACCCTCCCCCACCCCCCTAACTTTAAATAGTGGGTGCTGAGGCAGGTACATGTGCTGCGACGTCCCTCTAAAAAGTGATCCTCCACACATTACTATTCAGAGAGGCCGTGGAGCCTGCCGCCCATGTCAACTTTGACAGTTGTCCCCACTGGAAGATTTCCCCCCCACTTCTTGTTCTGGGGACAGCTCTTGCATTTTGGAATATCCCTTATTTTCCTTCTTAGTGACAATGGTCACCAGGACAAATAGAGGGTGTCTGTGTCCCCAATGGGGACACAGACAGCAATAAAAACTTGACAGAGGGTCTAACCCCCATCCCTCCCACGATGGCATCGAAGGTCCTTCCTCTTCACCTCTGGTGGCTGCAGCGAGCGCTCCTTACTCCTAAATAATGCCATGTGATATGGTCACAGTGCAGAAGTACTCTGAGCCCAGCGTGATGGTCTCAGGAGGGGAAGACATGCGGAGGGTCTCAGGAGGGGGAGACGTGCAGAGGGTTTCAGGTGGGGGAGACGTGCGGAGGGTCTCAGGAGGAGCAGACGTGTGGAGGATCTCGGAGGGGGAGACGTGTGGAGGATCTCAGGAGGGGCAGACGTGTGGAGGGTCTCAGGAGGGGAGATGTGTGGAGGGTCTCAGGAGGGGCAGACGTGTGGAGGATCTCAGGAGGGGCAGACGTGTGGAGGATCTCGGAGGGGGAGACGTGTGGAGGGGAGATGTGTGGAGGGTCCCAGGAGGGGGAGATGTGTGGAGGGTCTCAAGAGGGGGCGATGTGGGGGGGGTCTAGAAGATGTGTGGAAGGTCTCAGAAGGGGGAGACGTGCGGAGGGTCTCAGGTGGCGGAGACGTGCAGAGGGTCTCAGGAGGGGGAGATGTGTGGAAGGTCTCAGGAGGGGGAGATGTGTGGAAGGTCTAGGGAGGGAAGATGTGTGGAAGGTCTCAGAAGGGGGAGACGTGCGGAGGGTCTCAGGTGGCGGAGACGTGCAGAGGGTCTCAGGAGGGGGAGTGTTCTGGCCGGCAGAAGCACTGTAAACAGGCCCTTGGTGGTTCCATATAAGCACCCTGAGGTCCCCAGCAAACATGGGACCTAAGGCAGCCGCTTGAAAAATGAAAGCGCCGGTATCAGTTTTTAGTGTCACAGCAATTGCAGGAGTACAAGGATTTGCGCTCCGTGTGGACACACGATACAGGTATCAGTGCATCAGTAATTGCAGGTAAAGCTTCCCTCCGTACTGTATGAAGAAGCAGCTATGCCACACTCAACCAGTACTACAGCACGTCTCTCTCGCCTTTTCTGTGCCTTAAAGCTTCTCTCCTAATTTTTAGAAACATTCCTCTCAAATTTATGAGATGAGAAAGATGGATGCCTTTGAATACAAAGTGCGTAGGCAAAGGACACGCCCCCTGACAGAGCACCCCGTCCCCCAATTACACAGACCACAAAGGATTGATTGCTTAACCCTTTTGCTGCCAGAGACATAAGGCTTACATCACTGGAATTTAGTTCCAAATGAGGCACAGTTGGGAGGAAGTAAACTTCTTTCTTTATTATGAAGTTGGAGTTCTACTTTAACTTCTGATTTACTTCTATCTGGTGCTAAAAATTCCACTAGCATAGATTTGTGATTTCTTTCTGTATTCAAACGAGATACTTTATTCAGATCCTACATTAAATAATACAGTCTCCTATAATGTGACTGCAGGTGGAGAAATGCACATTCTTTTTTATAAGAATAAATAAATTTACCGAATTATGAAAAAAATTAATCTCACCCAAAATGGCTTCCAATATTGACCCATGGCAAACAGAATCAGCCGTTTCCCTGGGGCACTGAGCGGGCCGACCTCTAGGATGTCTCCAATACCGGAAGATGAGATTCGGCTAAGCAGACGGAGGTTTGTCTACAACAAAATGGCCGCATAATTACAGCTACACACACCGAGCTGCAGACACTTACTTCATTAGTGTGTACACTGTACTGAGAAAGGATAGGCTACATGTGTTTCAAGTACCGGTTGGATGAGGATTTGCTGTCATGGGACCATTATCTCTTGTTGATGTCTTACCCAGGTACAGAGGGGCTGTGCAGGGTGTGTGTCTGGTTTAATGAGACCTTCATTACACACAGCACATGAAGGTATATGCCCTATTTCCTGTCTGGCTGGATGTAATCCCTCATTTCCAGGTACAGTTTCTGCTTTTGTCCCTGAAAATCTCCCTGAGATTAACATTAGAACATTTAGAAAACAAAAGTCCTGTTTGCATACTCCAGCTCTTACCATGTGTGATTGTATGGTTTGTATTTATGGATTATTGTTCTGATCAAGCATCGAAGATCACCATTTAATATGCAATGCCATTTTTTATTCTAGGTTATTTTAGCTGGACCTTGAAACATAAAATGTCAGTTTTCCCGAAGATTCTTCTGCAGAAAGAAGTAGAAGATCATCTGCGCAACGTTTATCACAATAAGGAGGTGATCTGTTATGTATTAAAGTAGAAGTCTGACCTCCTGTAGAATATACATTTATATATGTGGCAGAACCTAAAGTCTATGTAAACCCCAAAATAATAATAATAATGTAACTTATTGCAGCTAAAAATTTGGATTGTGCTGAGTTCTCCCAAGCCTGCTCAATACTGTGGATGTCCCCCACCTCCTCACAACCCAATCAGTGGCGTAGGATGCATTCCCTACTCCCAGCTACACATCACAAAGGGGTGGGGAATGTCCCGGGGCTGTTGTCCATCACAGTTTTGAGCAGGCTTACGTGTACTTTACACCAAGCTCCATCTTATCCCTACTTACCAATACTGAGAAGTGGTGGCTGCGTTAGTTTTCCTTCTTTAGGCTTTTTTTAATTTTCACCTGGTGATCCTGCCAGTAACACGCTTCCTTTCTAAGGGCTTCCACCAGCCTGCATGTCTACCGCAATGTCCCGTGTCCAGAACGCAAGGGATCGCATACATAAAGTCTCCTTGCCTTCTGGGGCGGGAGGGGGCGTGGCAGTGCCATTCAAGTCAATGGCACTGCAGACACGCCCCCCCCCCCCGCACTGGAATGCAGGGCATTTTATTACGTGTTCCTGTGTGGCCGATCGTACTGCAGGCAGGGGGGCATCTGCAGTGCCAATTACTTGAATGGCACTGCCACAACCCCTTGCGTTCCGGGCCTGGGGCATTGCCGCAGGCGCGGTGGAAACAAACCCTTAGGGTGACAACACTCAATTACTGCACTGTTCCTAAGAAGAAGCTGCTATGCCATACTTGAACAGGACTACAGAACATCTCTCTCCCCTTCTCTGTACCATATGGGGAGACGTTCTGTAGCCCACTGAGAGAACTGGGAACAATGTTAAAGTGCAACCACAGCAAACATTTGTTTTTTCTGTAGTTTTGGATAGAGTAGAGAGGGATTAGAACACACGTCAGGTCTCTATTTGTGTCTATGTCCCCATTAGGTGGATCCCCCCTCTCTATTTGTCCTGGTTACGACAGTTATCACTGATAGTAAAAGAAAAACCCAAATTCTGGGCGGTCATCAGAACAGGAATAGATGGGAAATCTTCCAATGGGGACACTAGTTCTGGTGACCACCAGGGTTTTTCCTCACTTTGAAGGAATTGCTTCTCACTTCCTGTTGTGGCTGTCGGACAGGAAGTAAATGGGAAACCCCTTAATGGGACAAAGGTGGCAAAAAAAAAAAGTTGACAGCGCTTATAACCTTCCATTCCTCTATCCAAAACTGTATATAAAAAAAATGGGCTTCAGTTCTACTTTAACTGCTGAGAGCAGCCGAGGCAGAGACCACAGACCACAGGAAGTTATCAGCTATATAGGTGTCTGGCAGGGACATAGAGAACAGATGCAACCAGACACTTTCAGTGGTATATTTAACAGACAAAAAGGGAAAATCATTCAGTAATCTTGAAGATATTAAAGTGACGCCAAACTCAGGAGTTAAATCTTAAAAATACATTCAAGTATCTTAACTATTAACAAAAATGTATCTTATTTGTGTATCACTCGGCTGTAGATCCTCAAATCATCTCTGAATTGGTGCTGACACTGTCCTTCCTTCTGGAGGGTGACTACTTTTGTTCCCCATGGTCCCTGTGTGTGTTGTAAAGTTGTCACCGCTCTCGATCCTGTCACTGCAGAGAGCCGTGACAGGGGAGGTACTGGATTCCCACCCCTCCCCTGTCCGATCCTCCAGTGCTGACTGGCGGAATGGACGGGGGAGGGGGCGGGTACAGCTGGCTCTGCCTCTAGATAGGCAGAGCCAGCTGTCACTCACGCAGCTGGGTGGATCCAGACAGAATTGTCGGGATCCGTTTCAGCTGCGGCTGTAGCTCGCGGTATACTGAGCTTAGGGTGACGGGAGGACGCTAGTTTCTGTCCTCCTGTTACCCTTAGGAGAACTATGGGGAAAAGCCCTAACACCATAGTTCTCCTTTTAATAGTTAAGGTACTTGAATTCATTTTTGAGATTTAACTCCCGAGTTTAGTGTCACTTTACATTTTTGCTCTCGGGTTTAGATCTGCCTGTCCCATGCACCCTCTGGACCCCAGAAAGCTCCCTCTGTATTTCCACCTCTATGAGGTCCCAGGTGGTACTAGGACACTGTGATATGTTGCTATGAGCTCTAGGGGGATGGGACTATGGGATGTTCTTAAGTATTTTCTATCCTCCAGCTTGTTGCTAAGTTGGGTGTGGATGAAGTGGAAAGAAAATTTGAGCGTCTGCAGAGTTGCCTGTCGCACCCGCCGTCTTTTACCACCGTTCGGGTGAACACGCTGGTGACGTCGGTGGAAGCAGCCAAGCAGCAACTAGATGAAGAAATAAAAAAGGTCAGAATTCTCGTTTTCCATTTTGCCTCAACGCTAAACGCCCGACAATTACAAATACATTCAGCTCTGTAATCAAAAATACATCAGTAAAAGAATTCATTTATTTTTTTTAAAGAAGAACTTAACCGGGGGCAAAAATAAAGTTTAAATACTCATCCAATCCTCGGTCCTGTGGAGGTGACCGCTCACCTGCTCTGGCTGTGGTGAGTCCCCCCTCGTCTACACGTCTAATAGACCTGCATTACACGTGATGATGTCACGGGTCCTTAGAGCTCCAGGGCCCGGGGAAGAAGAGGCTGCGGGGACTAGCATCAAGCAGGAGCAAGGATGGGGGGAGTATTTCTACTTTATTTTCACCCCGTAGACAAAACGAGCACTTAAAGTGGAACTTTACCCCCTTTCACTAAAATCACATCAGCATGCAGCTCTGATGAAATCATCTTACATTCATTAGTTAAACATATGTTTCTTTTACTTACAATTACTGGTTTTACTGGTTTTCTACTTCCTGATCCTCTTGGGCATTAGTGATGTGGTGTGCCCAAGCATTGCATCCTGGGAAGGTTACATCAGCAGTGCATTGGTGGGAAATCTCATCTGTAATCTCATGAGATCTCAGTGAAAGGCATTTTCCTCCTTGGAGATGATGTGCATGGTCACATGTCCTAGTCATATGTGCCAGAGTTCCAGGAAGTAAAAGGCGATGGATTAATCTGCCCTTAATAAAAAAAAAAATGGCCACTGTGTGAAGAATGGGGAGGAAAAGAGAAATAAGGAATGCAAAAAATAAAAACGACAATTATCTAGAAGTATGTGTTTGTAGATTGTCATTACTAAACATTTCTAAAGGCGTGTTTGTTGTCATTTCAAAGATAAGGGTAAAGTTCCTTTTTAACCCTTTCAGTGCAAAAGAAGCCCCACTATAAGGGTTACTTTTTAAAAATCTTGGAGTTCTGCTTTAAATGCAAGCTGTGGAAGTGCCTGAGTATGTATGACCTGGTTTCAACCTTTTGCAACCCCCTGTATATCAGAGCTCAGACTGGGAGAGGGAGAAGCAGCATCAGGAGCCAATCAGTGTTCATGTGGTGTTAAGGGACATGCCAATAAGAGAGCAGAAAGATGAGCTCATCAGTCAGCTGATTTTCCTTTCACTGTCCAGTCACAGGCTGGGGGAGGGACAAGACGTGCAAGTGTAGCTTGAAGAGAAAAATCAGGTGTTTAAATCTCAGGACTGGATGGACAGAAATGCAAATAACAGGTAAAACAGCTCGTATATATGTATTTTATTTGTGTATTTCACTGTCTGTCTGGCATTTTACTTCAAAGTGTATTCCTACTTTTGCAGCCAAATTTGGGATAGCACCTATTTATATTTGTTAAATGTTCCCATTCGGATAGCATAACAAAAAATATTTCACATTGCAGCTTACCTTTTTTCGATGGAGTCTCTGGAAATGTCAGGACTCCCAGTTATATAATCAAGTCTTTAGGGTTTTTTTTTCCGGTTAGGATAGAGCGGGGCACCTTGGCCCTCCAGCTGTGGAGAAACTACAAATTCCATCCTGCTTCTACCTCTGTGAATCATACCCATGGCTGTCAGAGTCTCTCAGATTGGAAGGGCTTCTTTTCCCAACTGCTGCTTTGAGATCTCTCCACAAGTGCTCTATGGGATTTGGATCTGGACTCATTGCTGGCCAATCCAGTACTCTCCAGCGCTTTGTCTGAAACCATTTCTGGGTGCTTTTTAACGTGCTTTGGGTCATTGTCCTGCTGTAAGATCTCTGATGGAGACCCAACTTTCTGACACTACATTGCACCCCAGAATTCTTTGGTAGCCTTCAGATTTCATAATGCCATGCACACAGCCAAGACACCCAGTGCCTGAAGCAGCAAAGCAACCCCAAAACATCAGTGAACCTCCACTATGTGGGACTGTATTTTGTTCTTTTAAAGGCCTAATTTCTTTTTCTGAATACAGTAGAATGATGGGCTGCACCAAAAAGCTGCAATTTTGTTTCGTCAAAGAGTTGTTAATTTTGTGTCATCCCAATACAAACAAAGAAATAAACATGAGAATGACGAAACATTTGTCATTGCAACAATTTTCTGTGCGAAGTGGTGCATTATATGACAGAAATGCAGGGGTGCCAATATTTTTGACCATGACTGTATGTAACTGTTGAATTTTTATTTCTGGCTTTTTGTCCTGGTGAAGAAACAGAAATTAAAGGGACTCTCCACAGTTCTTACACAGACAGCATATTAAAAAAGAACTATGAGGTGAGTGATTTTCAGTCACCTCATAGTTCTAGCCGACCTGTGACAATGAGACTGTCACAGGTCGGCTCAGTAGATCGGGAGGTGAGCGAAAACATACTGGCGTTCGCTCACCTCTCAATCCTGTCACGGCTCTCTGCCGTGACAGGGGAGGGGCTGGATTCCCCCCTCCCCGCTCCGATCCGCCAGTGCTGACTGGCGGAACAGACGAGGGAGGGGGCGGGTACCGCTGGCTCTGCCTCTAGATAGGCAGAGCCAGCTGTCAGTCACGCAGCTGGGCGGATCCTGGCACAATTGTCGGGATCAGTTTCAGCTGCGTCGTCTCAGTGTAGCGCGAGCTTCAGCTCGCGGTATACTGAGCCTAGGGTGACGGGAGGACGCTAGTTTGTGTCTTCCCGTTACCCTAAGGAGAACTATGGGGAAAAGACTTAACCCCATAGTTCTCCTTTAAAGCTTGACGTAGGTTCCCGCTCTTCCCCATGCCACTGGGAAAACAATGTCTCTATGTACGCCTTTGCCATAATAGGGATGAGAGTCTGTTCATTCCTGTCTCGGTGACCACACTGAAAGGCAGGAATAAAATGATCTTCACAACATAAACACAGACAGCAGTAAGAAAGCTCAGAGAGGTAATCCCTTCCCACTCTATGCGGAACAAAAAGAAGGCTTCCTCTTTAATAAATGGCATTTTTGTTATTACTTTGCAGCAAATCCTGGGTGACGTCATCCCAATTCATCAGCATCCCAGACTCAAGGACCTCCTATTAATTCCAGTTATTGGACCGAGGTTGGTAAAACATGGATATCTACATTAATATTGACCTGAACTTAAGTAAGGATTTGTTATTTAATAGGGGACATCTGGAAGTGTTAGGCCTCATTCACACAAGTAACAGCCGGCCCGTACAGATCCGGGGTGCGTGCATGACCGTATCTGGCCGCTCCCGGGAAGGACAGGTGCTGAGTGTGATTTGTACGCAGCAGCCTGTCCTTTTTTTTCTGAGTTCGCGACCGTACGCTCACCCGAACTGCACGTCCGTGCGGGAGTGCGTACTTGTATGCTGACACAGGATGGATCCTGTCTGCGTCCGAGCAGGGACGACCGCGCGGACGTGCAACTCGGTCGATCGTATGGCCGCAAACTCAGAAAAAAAAGGACAGGCTGCTGCGTACAAATCACACTCAGCACCTGTCCTTCCCGGGAGCGGCCAGATACGGTCATGCACGCAGCACGGAGCTGTACGGGCCGGCTGTTACTCGTGTGAATGAGGCCTTAAGTGTGCCAAAGCAGTAACATGAAAGATTTACCTTTTTGTCTTACGTTCAAGACAAGACATATCAGTGCGCTTCGTGGTATGTGAGTGTGCCTAGGCTCTCTTATGCCCTCAGCCATATATCTGCAATGTGAGATCTAGGGCACTGCCTGACTGCTAGTCTCAGGAGATTTGGAGTGAGATTTGGTGATGCCACCACCGTCCTGCTCACTGTTCTCCTTGCCGGACGCTCTGACATGAGGAAGCAAAGCCTTGCCTCTACTAAAATGGCCACCTCCATACAGAGACACATCGAGTGCAGAACAAGGTATGGTACGTCGGTAATGGGACAAGATTAGCTGCAGGGAGACCATAGACAATGCTGGTGAGTGGTCCTTTGCCTTCTGCTTAGGTTTTTCTGGGGTACATCTTCCAGAGTTCAGTTCTTCCTTAAGCTGATCTCATTTACACATATAGCTAAAAAAAATTAATAAATGTAGTATGTTCAGTAACCTATATCCAATCAGAATTCATTTTTTGCTGTAAACTAAAGTCTGATTTGGACTCTGCGTTATCACCAAGCCTCCTTCTACAGGTTCCACACTATGCATATTACACATATATCAGTTTTACAGCCAAAGTAGACTCATCTTTAGTGTTAGAATAAGGGCTCCCTGCTTCTGTGATCATTGAAGCGTGTCTCCTCCTTGCTGCACTGATGGACTGCTCCTCAGCAGTATAGATGCTATAGATGTGAGGAGTCCAGGATCCTTAGCAGAGGGGCACTGGTGCCGGAGACACCGGTCTAAGAACAAGCCGGATTGGCTGGTCTGGTGAATATAACTTTTTTTTTTGTTTAATCACCAAGACACAAACGAGCACTTAACCCTTGCAGTGCAGGGAAGGAGGGGGCACTGCAAAGGTATTTTTTTTACAAAAGATCTTGGAGTTCAGCTTTAATGATTGTCAGAATTTCCATTACTACTTACAGGTCAGATTGGGTTGAATGCAGTCTGAGGCTTATTCGGTCTATGGTGATCTATTGCAACCAATCAGATTTTAGCCTTCTGGAATCAACTATTTTCTAGTTTTAGTCATGATTGGATGGGTTGAATCACACAATTACTTCTTGTATCTCTCTGGGATTCCGTAAGGGATATCTCTGACACACACACACACACACACACACACTGCGGCTTATTAGGCTTCATTAACATTTATGTAATTCCCATTGGTACAAGGCAGTCAGCTACTGAACTGAAACTGCAGCAAAACATACAATTGTATACGGATTAATGAGAACCATTGGGTATCTCTGTGCTGCAGTGTGTGCAAATCTGCTCTTCATGATAGAAAGGAATTATTTTCTATTATAACACAATGTACTGTACAACGTGCAAAACAAGATTTTTTTTTTTCTTCAAGGAAGGAATGTACAAAACGCTTGCAGAGACACAGCTAAAGATGCCTTGACCTGCACACTAATGCACACACGTGAGAATAGCAGCAGGAGCAGGATTGCACTCTCCATAATGTAAAAGTGAAATATTTGACAGGAAGCGTTAGTAGCACCTGCTTTATGTTCGCCCCCTAGACAATATGAGCACTTAACCCTTGCAGAATGCAGGTATCCCCGCTGCAAGGGTAAGTTTCTTCTAAAAACCCCGGAGTTCTATAAAGAGGTTTTCGAATGGCTTAGTTTCCCATTTTTTTATTCTTTATTTAGGAGGACGCAGAAGCAACATTCGGTACAAGTCATCGTTGGAGCGCTGTGTGGAAATGCTGTCCTCAGAGGAGCCCATGTGTACGCTGCTGGGATTATATCTGCTTCCAAATGTAAGAATGGGAAGTGGGGCTGCCCCCCTCGCACTGCAAGGGTTAACTGCTTGTTTTAGCTAGGGGGCGAAAATAAAGAAGAAATACTCGCCTGATCCTAGACCGGTCCCTGCAGCCTCTTCTCCACTAAGCTCCGGCGGTCTGAGATCACGTGTAATACAGGTCTTTTAGACGTGAAGATGCCAGGGAGTGAAGGGGGCAGAGAGGTGAGAGGTCACTGCCACAGGACCAGCTGACTATGTCTTCTTTATTTTCGTTCCTAAACAAAGTGTTAACCCGTTCATTAAGCATAATATTCAAAACGTACAATAGTGTCACCTAGAGTGGGCTTAAAAGGAATATTGTAGGGCGCCAAAATAGATTTTGGAGTGTAGATAAGGGGTAGCCAAACCAGAGTACCAGAATTTGCCTACCCCTGGGTAAGATTGGGGGTGATGTGGAGGAGCAAGTAGGTAAGGTAGAGGGTAAGAGGGAAGAGAAGGAAAAGCAATAGGGGGGTTGGGTGGAAACAGCACCGCTCTCCATCAGATGAAGCTTAGGGTTGGGTTAAAAGGTCGGTCTGGTCTGCGATAAGTCACCCAAGGCGGCCATATTTTGAGAAATGTATTATGGGTGGTTTGGGGTTCCTGGGTGCATTTCCTTTACTATAGTGATAAATTAAATGTTACGAGCGCGCCATGGTTTTGGTTATTTGCTGTTTAGTATTCTTCTTTTTGCCTGCAGGGATGAAGGCCGGTGATGAGGTGTCTGTGTTCTCTGACATTGAAGGGAAATGTAGACGGGGCGCCTTGGAGTTCGATGGAACCAAAGTTTTTATTGGCAATGGGATTGCAGAACTGAGCCGCTCAGACATCTTCTGTACCAACAGCCCTGTAAAGTAAGTAAAACCGACGCTGACGTCCTGAAAACCGAATGTGTTTGTGTTCTATACAGCAACACGTCAATTGTTCAGCCAGTTTCATTGCACGTCTCTACCTGGTGCTGTTTCTGTTGAAACTGACACAGACTCCAGCCACTTCCTGTTTCCTGAGAGATCAGTGGGAGGGTCTTCTAAAGTCACATGATCGGCCTAGGATTGTAAACACTTAGGAAAAGACTAAGGCCCTGTTCACACCTGACCGTTTTGTAGCGCGTCCTACGCCCGACGAACGCTCTACAAAACGGTCAAAAATATAAATTGCATTGTAGTCAATGCCCTCGTTCCCACCTTGCCGTATTTCCGCCCGTCCCTAACGCCCTACAAAACGGCCCACGCCTGAAAAGGTCCCGGGACTATTTTTTGCCGTTTTGTAGTGGGTTTTCCATTGGGATACAGCCAAGTAGCCTTCGGAATCGCGCGACCGTCGCGCGTTTTTTTTTACCGCGGATCGCGGTAAAAAAAAACACGCGACGGTCGTGCATATTACAATACGCCTAGGTGTGAATGGGGGCTAAGGGGGTTATTCACAAAGTTGCCGAAGGCAGGCAAGTGAATAACGCAGGCGAAGCGAAGTGAGCCGAACGCTGTTCAGCTATTCACTTCAGCCGTGTACGGTTGACTTCAGCCGTACATCAGCTAAAATCAGCCGTACATCGGCTGCCTTCGGTCAGCCAAACATGCTCTGCAGGGATGTATAACTTTTTATAACTTTCTTATTTTACTCCTTAGATGAAAACGAGCGCTTAAGCCTTGCAGTGCAGGGCAAGCCCCTACTGCAAGGGTTAATAGAAGCATTTTCTCGGCATTCCATTTTAAATGTGTTTTAATGATGACATTTCTACTTCATATTGACTCTTCCTGTTGTCATAGGGGGAAAGGCATCAGAATGACAGAACCGGTATACTCCAGTCCATCCTTTGACAACATGCTGCCTGGATATATATTCCTGCAGGTAAATCAGAATGGGCACACTGACAGCTGGATTCAGTAAGAGCGCTGAGGACACCCAGCATTGTCCTGGGACGACCGACCAGAATAATGCAATAAGCTGAACTCTGACTGCTCTGGGTAAAGTAATCCATAGTCTGAGTGCAGTTTATCGCATTATTCTGATTGGTCGTTCTAGGGCAGCACTCGCTACATAAAAGGGATTTTTTAAAGGAGAATTATGGGGAGAGTGAAATATACTCATCCCTAGGGATGCCCCGATGCCACTTTTTTAAGACCAAGTACTGGCCCTCATGTACTTGCCGATACCAATTACCGATACTTTCTCTTAACGGACAGGTGACATTTTTTCAAAAACAATGCAGACTAATAATTTTAGGCCAAATTCTTTAATATTATGAATAAACGTAATTTAAAAGACTGTTTTAGAACAATAAAACCAGCCCACCTGAGGATCTATGGTGGGCTCTGCAGGTTCACCCTCAGGTGGGATCTCGAGTGGGCTCTGCAAGTACAAGTGAAACGCTGGCACTGGACGAGGTGTCACTGGATAAGATGCCGCATTGAATTGTTAGCGCCGATAGCACTTCCACAGGCAGCCCTTCATTCCACAGCATCCGGACCTTACTCCCCCTCAGCCCCGACAGTCTTAGGCAGCCCGCATACACTTGTGCCTGCCACTAACAGTGGTCCGCCTCCGTCCTAGACTCCAATTACACACAACACTTTGACCCAGGCTCCCTCTGTCATTGTGCCCTCCCCAGCTCCAACAGCAGTGACCAACCCCTACACCTCCCTGCCTTTCCCAGTTCACACACATTTGAGAGCGCACACCATTCACATTATTGAAGGATTACCACCTATCCACCTCTCGTCGATGACATGGTGCCTGTTCAATGGAGCCTCATGGGGGTGCCGAATTATTATTTTTTCTCCTCATGTGAGGACGACGTCGGCGGCGCTGAGAGGCTGAGCGGAGGAGCGTCACGTCACTGATGTGGGCGGAGCTACAGGCGGAGTCCTCTGGGCAGTCGCCAGCCAACTACATTAGATCCCCACCTGGAGCTCCGCCCACAGCAGTGACTCGACGCTCCTCCAGGCTGCCCAGAAGACCTCAACCCCACCACGGGGAGAAAAAAAAACAGCGCAAGCTCCGGTGCTAGGCATCGGGGCATTTTGACAAGTACTTGTCAAAATGCCCTGTATCGGGCCCGATTCCGATACTAGCATTGTTATCGGGACATCCCTACTCATCCCCATAATTCAAGCCGACCTATGTCAAAGAAGCTGTCACAGGTTGGCTTTATCGATCGGGAAGTCAGCGAACACACACTGCTGATCGCCGACTTCCCAATCCCCTCCCTGCAGGGATTCCCCTCTCCGCTTCTCCAGCTCTGAATGGAGGAACGGACGGACGGGGGGCAGATAGCCCACTATATAGTGAGTTTTGGGTCACCGGAGGACACAGTATATGTCCTCCCATGGTCCTGAAGAGAACTATATGCAAAAAAGGTTACCCCGTAGTCCTGCTTTAAGTAAGCTTCGATTGCATTATCAAAAACAGCTCTAGTATGTCTTCCTGTTACAATGCTGATGTTATAACAGGACAGGATATGAGTTTAGAACTCCTTTCATTTAAACATAATCCGCAGACAAATGTAAACTGCCTCTTAGTCCAGTTATTGCTGCACTGGTCCCAGTCCTTGTTTTTAATCTGGAGTTGTAGCTGTCTTTGTCTTTGTTTTCTAGAATTTACCGTCTGCTGTTGTCAGCCATGTTTTGAGCCCTCAGCCCGGGGAACGGGTTTTGGATATGTGTGCCGCTCCTGGAGGAAAGACCACTCACATCGCTTCTCTTATGAAGGATGAGGTAAGGAAAAGTCACAGAAAATGATCATTGGTCTATTGGCAGAAAACATGGATGACGGGATATTACCCAGCCGGCCAGGAAATGTGCTGCAGGTCTGGTCTTTCTTGCATCGCCAGCCCGTTCAAAATGAATGGGTTTCTTTGACTGAACGTATGCTCCTGATATCCTGTTTTAGGGTGGCTCCTTTGCGTTGCAGGGTCCTATGGAGTCACCTCTGTGTGGGCTAGTAAGCTGCATCTGTATTCACATACACATAGCACAAAAACAAAAGTTTCCCAGCACACTCACCAGCCAGCCTGCAAACAAATTACACTAAGGGTTAGAAACAGAGGTTTTAGTTGCAGAACTGTTGCAAAATATGTGGAAGCCACACCGCCTCATCAAGTCTCCTCTGTATAGTGTGGGCATAACTCTAATCTATGAGAGCCGCCATCTTGGAAATATCTAGCACAGGATGAATTGGGTGCAGGTTCACCAGGAGGCAGCACACTAGCACATACACACTGACACAGCCAGGCAAGACACTTTCTTGCTCCTCTGTCCTCCCTTCTCCAGTCTAGTAGATGGACAGCTGCTGGAAACTGCTCTGTTCCTTGTGATTTTGCACTGGACAGGAAGTTCAGGGAAGCTGAGCTGAGAGAGTTGGAGCTAACTGTTTGGAAACATGATGACTGTAAGTCAGTGACGTGCGGTACCTCTTGCTCCAGGTGAGGCATTCCCCAGCCCTGCCGACTGAAGCCCCACCCCTGATTGATGATGCTCCGCCCCCACCGGACAAAGCCCCACCGGACGCAGCCCCAACCCGTCCCCAAGCTACTGTAAAGGAGGAGACAGGGAGGAGCCTCCCTGTCCCTCATTTGCTCCTCACTGCTGAGGCACTCCGTCCATGACAGGTTACACAGCGGGGAGTATTTGCCTGCTGTGTAACATGTTACGAGCCAATCTGAATGGAGAAAAAGCTGTCAGCTTCAGACATGATGCTGACAGCTTTTTCCTCCATAATTCTAGGCGAGTCTCTGCCTCCCCTGACCGCACGTCCCCGCTGTAAGTGCTTGGTCAAATATGTAAGAAATACTTTGCTGGGCAATGTATATTATGGGTTTTCTCTGGATTCATTATTGAAAAAAAAATGTTTGAGAATGTAATACTACTTTAGGCTCAAATCCTGGACAGTTGTCATATAGGACTTTCCACATTACAAGGTTGAGTCAAAAATGATCCGCACTCTGGCTGTAGAATTTAGTTTAATCAACTTTTAGAAGAGACAAATAATTTTTGGACATAATCTCCTGGCCTTTCAATACACTTTGTCCATCTGTCAACAAGCTTTATTATTCCCTCATTAAAAAATGTTTTAGTCTGAGCTGCGAGCCACGAATGCACAGCTGTCTTCACTTCTTCATCAGAGGGGAATCTTCGTCCTCGTAAGCTGCTTTTAGGGGACCAAACAGGTGAAAGTCAGATGGAGTAAGATCAGGACTATAGGGAGGATGCCCAAACACCTCAAAACAAAGTTTTTGTAGAGTGTCGACAGTGTGGGCCAGGGGTAGCCAAACTCCGACCCCTCCAGCTGTGGTGGAACTACAAATCCCATGAGACATTGCAAGATTCTCGCAGACATGACTCCCGGAGACAGATGCATCATGGGATTTGTAGTTTCACCACAGCTGGAGGGCCAGAGTTTGGCTACCCCTGTGGGCCATCCTTCTTAATGGCTAACACTTGTATGGCCTTCCTTGAACTTCTCCATCCATTCCTACAGACTTCTTCGCGGCAAAACACTTTCTCCATACTGCGCACAAAGTCTTCCATAAATAACGGCACCAGGCACACCCTCAGGCCACAAAAAACAAATCAGCGCACGTCGCTCTTCTTTCATGCAGATCACAAGTCGGGCATTCGTTTTTGCTCGCACAGCAGTTACAAATGAACTGACATAACACCTTCAAACCTGCACAGCAGTGACTGGGGAGACAGTAGCCTTGATGGCTAGTTCACACCAGCCTGACTCGGTGCCGGAATTTACTGGATTGTATCCCGGTCAGCTTCCTTTGTTTTGGTGGGAAGGGGTCGTGGCGGTGCATTGAAGTCAATGGCACTGCAGCCATGCCCTCCGGTCGCAGTGTGATCGCCTGCATCGGAACGCATGACACATCAATGCCTGCTTTGAAGTCCAGTCCGGTCAGAAAAAATACTGCGGCTGGAGGGCACGGTTGCGGTGCCATTGACTTCAATGCACCAACACACCCCCTCCCGCTCCAAAACAAAGTGAGGCGGCCGGGATGCGATCTAGTTCGTTCCGGCACCGAATCGGCCCAGAACGCACTGGGGCTGGTGTGAACTGAACGGACAGTAAGACCAGTACAGCCAACAGAAGTTTTAATATAACCGGAGTGCTGATAATTTTTGACTCTCCCTCGTATATTTTTAGATTGTTTCGTTTTGTGTTTTATTATATTTACATTGTGTTGTTTCTTTGGTGACTGTTGCATCTTGTGGCATCTTCATATTACATCAGCTTTGGATGTTCTCATAGTTAAAGGAGAACTATGGGGTCAGTGTTTTTCCCCATAGTTCTCCTTGGGGTAACGGGAGGACACAAACTAGCGTCCTCCCGTTACTCTAAGCTCAGTATACAGCGAGCTACAGCTCGCGGTATACTGAGACGCCGCACCTGGAGCGGATCCCGACTTAGATGACGGGATCCGCCCAGCTGCGTGAGTGACAGCTGGCTCTGCCTATCTAGAGGCAGAGCCAGCTGTACCCGCCCCCTCCCCCGTCCGTTCCGCCAGTCAGCGCTGGCAGATCGGAGCGGGGAGAGGGGAATCCAGCCCCTCCCCTGTCACAGCAGAGAGCCGTGACAGGATCGAGAGGCGAGCGAACCCGGTATGTGTTCGCTCACCTCCCGATCTGCTGAGCCGACCTGTGACAGTCTCATTGTCACAGGTCGGCTACAACTATGAGGTGAGTGAAAAGCACTCACCTCATAGTTCTCCTTTAACAGTATACAAGTCATAGTAATAGTCAGAGTGTCACCCCGTCGTCTGTTTGTTTATTTTGTTCCGGTATTTTGTGCTCTTTACAATGTTACAAATATTTATTTATTAGTTATTATTATATTTTTCTGCGGCTTTTTATTTGTGTTTGAATTTTCGGTCTGGTTTTCATGGGGATGCTTTGGTTAAAGCTTCTCCCGGACTCTTACTAATTCTATGGCATAGAAAATAAAAAAGAACCAAACTAAACGCCCCTTTTATTCATCTAAGTCAGGGGTAGCCAAACTCCGGCCCTCCAGCTGTGGTGAAACTACAAATCTCATGATGCATCTCTCTCTACGGGAGTCATGTCTGTGGCTGTGAGAATCTTGCAATGCCTCATGGGATTTGTAGTTCCACCACAGCTGGAGGGCTGGAGTTTGGCTACTCCTGATCTAAGTAATCGTGGTCACATGACATTCCGGTCCCAGATCTTCTCTGTGCAGGATGCCCGGTCCTTCTCTGGTTGTCCATGTCACTACTTGAATGACATGGACACTTCCTATTTGCTGGTACATCGATGGGATCCTCTCCGGTGGTCTGCAGCGGTGACATCGGCAAAAGGGGAAGTGGCTGGTGCGGGCACAGCTGGACGCAGGAACAGTATGGGCAAAGGGGCACAGACTTAGGCGGGTATAAGATTGATTTACAAGATATTAGATAAGAAAGAATAAAAACTGGAGGCGTCAAAGAAGGAGGTGGGGTCATTTTTTTTTGGCCCGAAATAGGGTTTAATAAAGCAGCACTTACAGGTCTTGTCCCTCCCCAAGTCTGTCACTGGACAGTAGAGGGGAAAGCAGGAGACTGATGAGCTCAGCTCTCTCTCTATCTCCTCCTATCAGCGTGTTCCTTTTATAGCACATGATCACTGTGCCCATTCGCGATCGGCTCACTGACCCGTGTGACGTCGGCCACACGAGCAATGCGGGAGGACAGGACCCCAGACGTATAAGAGGAGACCTGGGAAGTTGCTGTAATGGAGGTAAGAAAAGACAGACAGGAGAGAGACAGCAGATAGAAACAGGGGAGAGAGCAACGAGAGAGAGCGCGAGGAGAGAGAGAAGAGACAGCCAAGAGAGAGGGGCCAGTTCACACCACAAAGTCTGCGTTATTATTATAATACAGGATTTATATAGCGCCAATAGTTTGCACAGCGCTTTACAATATAAGGAAGACATTACAATACAATTCAAGACAAGATGGTAAGGAGGGCCCTGCCCCTGAGGGCTTACAATCTAAAAGAGTTCCAGAGTGTTCAGCCTCTAGAACGCACTGGAACACAAGCTGGCCGGCTCCCTGCGTTCGCTAGTGCCTGCGTTCCAGTCTAGTGCGATCTGCAAAAATGGTGCTTGCAGCATTTTTGCAGATCGCACTGGACCGGAACGCAGGCACTAATGTGACGGGGATCGCACTGCGGGCAGGGGGAGTGGCTGCGGTGCCATTGACTTCAGTGCACCGCCACGCCCCTGAACGCAGGTGTTTTTTCGTTGGTAGATCTCATTGAGTTCGTCATTTGAAAAGTAGATCTCCAGAAGAAAAATTGTGGGCGCCCCTGCTGTAGCACAAGTGACTGCCTCCTTTTTCTGTACAGGCAAGTGGAAGAAGCTGTTATTAAGCCAAATTCAGTACGAAATGATGATATGGATATTTGTTTCGTACTGTCCAGTGGTGTTTTTTTTTCTGTTAAAATATCATTGTCACATCACGCCGGGCCTGCTGGGATTTGCAGTTCACAAGTCAGTCATTCCTCCCTCTGATGCAGAGCATAGAATTACATTGCAGCCCATACACACGTTGTGCCTCCATCAGCATTCAGTACACGCAGCCGGCCGGCAGCTATTATTACAGCTGAGTCTTATCACGGCCCTCTCAGATGGTAAAATGATGTTTCTGTGGGAAATCTCTCCCGCTCTGATTATCCTTCGTCAAATGGGAACAGACTGGGAATCAACATTTCAGCCCCACGGTATCCCACTTCTACTTTTAGAATGTCTTATTTTCATTTCAGAAAATGATAAAAGTAAAAAAGGAATTGTCAAGGCTTGTTAAAGAAGAACTTAAACATGTACCCCTGCAGTGGGGCTACCCAGGCGCTGCAAGGGTTAAAGTGATATTAAAATCAAATGCTTTTTAAACTATTTCAAATGCTGATGAAATCACTTACAATGGACGCTGCTCCTTGATGTTTATAAGTTTTAGTTTCCTGCAGAATCATCTGGTCCCCTGAGCACTGGCCCTGATATCCTGTTTTAGGGTGGCTGCTTTCCCCTGCAGGGTCCTATGGAGCCACCTTTGTGTGTGCCAGTAAGCTGTGCATGTCTCCACAAATACACAGACACAGCAAAGCAATCCACTCCACTCTCATTCCTTCTACTTTCTTCCTTTCTCCAAGCTAGTAGATTGATAGCTGCTGGAGACTGATCTGTCCCTTGTGATCTTGTATTGGACAGGAAGTTCAGGGAAGCCAAGCTGAGAGAGTTGGAGATGTTTGGAAACATAATGGCTGTAAGTGTTTTGGCAAAAATGTAAGGACATACTTTGCTGGCCAATGTATATTTGTTTGATCCGAATTGTAAGTGCTTATTTTAGTTTAGGGGTCGGCCCTCCTCCCCACCCCGGGGTCATTAAAAGGAAAAGAAAATCTAAAATCTGAGTTGTCACCAGAACAAAAATAGAGGGGAAGTCCTCCAATTGTGGGGACAACTGTCCAAGAGGGGACTTACCTCAATTTGGAGAGATTTTCCATGTACAGCTGCTCCAGATTCTGCCTGTTCCAGTCTCAGTAAATTCCCCTCAGTGTGTATTATCCCCATGGAGTGTCAGAAATGTATTGTTTAGTATCATTTATTTAACTTTTATGTGATTAAATACATTTACAGTGTTTGCAGTGAGACGTTTAGTGTTTTGGAAAATGTAACAAGTTGTGGACTTTGGACGTACCACATATGCCCTACTTTTGGTTGTATGGGGTACGCTCTGCTCCTTTGTCTTACAGCTCCTTGGCTGCATTTGCAAGCAAATCATGGCTGTCATTTTGACAGCCGTGACTTGTTTTGTATCAGATCTTGGTGCTCCTGTGTGAACCGACCCTCCAGTCTGGATAATTATTCAGCTATTGAGGAGTTCTGGATTGCTCAATGTCTATTTAAAAGGTTACAAGGTTACAGGTTTATGTATTGAATCCCACTGGAAGCTGTATGTGTCCCAGGACTTCCATGGATGGAAAACATAAATATAAGATAAGGAACAGAAGCAACACTCCATGTACAGTAGAAGTCCAGAATGATATTTGATTGACGATCCTCAGGGCATTTTCGGGGTTGTGATAGTCCCCCTTCTTCAGGGCTGAAAGGGATCAAAAGTCTGAAATCTGAACCAGACAATAGTATCAAAAGCAAAGACGGACTAACTTTGTGACACAAGAACTGCCTAAGACTCAGCTGCAGGACATAATGTCCCTATTCCAACATTCATTTTGGTATCTTCTAGCCCAATCGGAAGGTTCGTTGGGGCACTTGATGTACTATAATGCCTTGATGCTGCAATCTACCTATATATTTTTGTACGTTCTCCGTGTTCTATGCCTTTTGCTCAGCATTGTGGGTCCCCCCCTTTCATGTCCCTTATCCTTATAGTGAATTCCTTCCTGGAAATAATGTTAGATTTGCTATGCATCTATTCCACAAGCGAAACTTAGTGTATTTCTACCCTACGTCTACCCATTCTCTCTCTCTCTCCCTCTCTTCTCTCTCTCTCTCTCTTCTCCTCCTCTCTCTCTCTCTTCTCCTCCTCTCTCTCTCTCTTCTCCTCCTCCTCCTCTCTCTCTCTTCTCCTCCTCCTCTCACTCTCTCTTCTCCTCCTCTCTCTCTCTCTTCTCCTCTCTCTCTCTCTCTCTCTCTCTCTTCTCCTCCTCTCTCTCTTCTCCTCCTCTCTCTCTTCTCCTCTCTCTCTCTTCTCCTCCTCTCTCTCTCTTCTCCTCATCTCTCTCTCTCTCTCTCTCTTCTCCTCCTCTCTCTCTCTCTTCTCCTCCTCTCTCTCTCTCTTCTCCTCCTCTCTCTCTCTCTCTCTTCTCCCTCTCTCTCTCTTCTCCCTCTCTCTCTCTTCTCCCTCTCTCTCTCTTCTCCCTCTCTCTCTCTTCTCCCTCTCTCTCTCTTCTCCCTCTCTCTCTCTCTCTTCTCTTCTCCTCTCTCTGTCTTCTCCTCTCTCTGTCTTCTCCTCTCTCTGTCTTCTCCTCTCTCTGTCTTCTCCTCTCTCTCTCTTCTCCTCTCTCTCTCTTCTCCTCCTCTCTCTTCTCCTCCTCTCTCTCTCTTCTCCTCTCTCTGTCTTCTCCTCTCTGTCTTCTCCTCTCTCTCTCTTCTCCTCTCTCTCTCTCTTCTCCTCTCTCTCTCTCTTCTCCTCTCTCTCTCTTCTCCTCTCTCTCTCTTCTCCTCTCTCTCTCTTCTCCCCCTCTCTCTCTTCTCCCCCTCTCTCTCTTCTCCTCCTCTCTCTCTCTCTCTCTTCTCCCTCTCTCTCTCTTCTCCTCTCTCTCTCTCTCTCTCTCTTCTCTCTCTCTCTCTCTCTTCTCTCTCTCTCTCTCTCTTCTCTCTCTCTCTCTCTCTTCTCTCTCTCTCTCTCTCTTCTCTCTCTCTCTCTCTCTTCTCTCTCTCTCTCTCTCTTCTCTCTCTCTCTCTCTCTTCTCTCTCTCTCTCTCTCTTCTCTCTCTCTCTCTCTCTTCTCTCTCTCTCTCTCTCTTCTCTCTCTCTCTCTCTCTTCTCTCTCTCTCTCTCTCTTCTCCCATGACATATCTTCTTCCTCTTCTCCCCATACTTTTATTGAATATATTGTTTATTTAATATATTTTGACGCTTTCAATTATTCCTTGTGTTACTCGTATTAAGCGGCTACTGATTTTGTCGCCGGGTAACATGTTCGAGATATTATTGAACCTATTTTGTATGTATAGATGGCATATTTACGTGGACTGTACACCACTTTGTGATCCCCGCTAATCTTTTAAGTCGTTGTATGTTTTATACAAAACAATAAAGATATACTTGCTAAGAAAAAAAAAAGCAAAGACAAGTTAACACTGATGGTTCCATCAGGAGCCTGGAGTCTCACCTCAGTGTCTGCATGTCAGTAAGAATTACAATGAAGGAGAGGATATTACACGGCATCATTTTCAGGAAGCACTCAGCAGCCTATTGGTGAGACGTCTCTGAATTATTACTGCAGTAAATTACACGGAGCTCAGACTATAATAATCTGAGTGAACTTTCTGATTTTAGCACATTTGCAGCATTAGCTCATAATTCCAAGTCCAGGAACTTCTGTACATTCTTCAGGGAAGCTCTAGACCTGGCTGTGCAGTTGGGTTGGGTTGGCTGGGTCATGGAACTAAACTCCAACTCTTTAGACAAGAAGCAGAATGGCATCACATATGTACGTCACCTCTGTATTTGGCTGTTTTGCCTTTATTTATACTTTATATTAAAATCAATGTCTTTGCATTCCCAGGGAGAAGTCATAGCTGTGGACAAGATAGCCAAGAAAGTGGAGAAAATAAAGCATAATGCTTCACTGCTGCAACTCACATCTATCCAGGCCTACCGCTTTAACAGCACCAAGGCTGTGTTACGTGAGCCAAAGGGGATGGAAGAAGGTGAGACATGGAGCATAGAAGAGTAACCATAGAAAGGGGTGTGTGGCGACATCTACATTATATGGACAAACGTTGGTGGACACCTGACCATCACACCTATATGAGCTTGTTGGACATCCAAAACCATGGTCATTAATATGGAGTTGTTAAACCCTCCCCCTAACTTTGTTGCTATAAAGCCTGCACCCTTCTGGAATGCCTTCCGCAAGATTTTGGAGTGTGTAAAAAAAAAAAAAAAAAAGTATGGTCAGATTGCTGAGGTTGGCGGAAAAAAAAACCTGGCTTGCACTCTTGCAGTCCTCATTCTAGTTCCTTTCAGGGGCAATCCGTAGGGTTGAGGTCAGGGCTCTCCGAAAGACACTGAAGTTTCTCAACACCAAAGTGGTCTAATCATATCCACATACATTTGGCCATATATTGTAGGTGTGATGGTCAGGTGTCGGCATCCTTTTGGCCATATTATAGTGTGCCTGTCCTGGAACTCCTTGAACCTGCTCAAATGTGTTTAGAACAGAGATACAGTAGTCCCGTTTTATTAATTCATTTATTTTCATTTTAAGTAGGGATGCACCGATACCGGTACTAGTATTGGTATCGGTGCAGATAACGAGTGCAGATAACTCGTACTCGCCCAACTGCTCCGATACTTTCATCGATACCGGAACTTCCGGTCAGAGGAAAATCCTCAGTGCCGTAGGGGAACATGGAGCCATCTTCCCAGGCAATCAGGAAGCTGGGTGGAGAGTAATGATTTGCCTCCCGGCTTCCTGATTGGCCAGGAAGCCGGCTCCATGATGATTGGATAGGAACCCCATCAACATCGAGCCGGCCGAACAGTCGGCTCCTTGCTGATTGGATGGGAAATCGGCTTACCTGGAGATCTTGCCAGTAAAAGCATTTCTCAATGCAGGTTGACTACACTAAGGCACAACCTCACAATTAGCAGCAGCTTAGTCAGCTTGCTATGTGTGCTTTCTTAGTTGGCCGTTGTGCTGTATGATAGATGGCACGATGACCAACACCTATCATGGCACTGGGACTCTTCACATGGTAGCAGACCCTCCAACTTAGCACTTCCTTTCAGCCAATACACTGTGTCGATCTTTCTCAATATCAAAGCAGAAGCAGCGTGTAACATTATGTCTTGAATTATGTTAAAATCCTTGAATCCTCATATCCAAGAGCATATAGTAGTTTGTGATGTGTACTTTTTAATGCTAAAGGTTTATTTTGCAGGTGCTGGTCCCCCCTTCCATCCAGAGTCATTTGACCGCATTCTCTTAGATGCTCCTTGTAGCGCAATGGGGCAGAGGCCTAATATGGCTCAGCTGATATCCCTAAAAGAGCTGACTTCTTACCAGGCACTGCAGCGCAAGCTTTTCAGCACGGTAAGTTCCCCTTTAGCAGTACCTACCATACGATTGGTGAAGTGGAAGGGAATGTCCTATGGGCTCCAGATTCATCCAATTTACAACCAGTAAGACACTTTCAGGCTGCATGTTGTTAGTAGGCATTGCCCTTTCTCCTTTATTATGGCTGGTTATGAGTTAAGAATTGAGTTACAGTTAAGTCAAGAGTTAAGGGGTTAAAAGCCCAACTCTGCAGGGTCCCCTTCATCAGGCTCAGTGATGACGGATATGGATATTATTAAAGAAGACTTGACGCAAGGAAATTTGGAGTGGCAGTGGTTTCTACTTTTTTTTTTGTATGCATTCCCTCTTTGAGGCCCCCATTCTTTATATTTACATTTATATACATTATATATACATTTTCAAGATGTCTTCCTCTTCAGTCTTCCTCTTCAGTCTTCCTCTTCAGTTTTCTCCAGTCTAAAAATGATGCAGAGAGTGTCTCTGACATAATGTCAGCGCTTTCTCTGCAGTAATAAACTGTGGGTGCAGGGTGCCGTGGTGACGCCCACTCGGGGCGGGTCCGTGACACCCTACACTCACAGTATGTCCTCAAGTCTTGCAGGTTGAATTACACATTCTGTCCAAGACTAAAGGTGCTCTTTAAATTGAAAGCAGTATAGTAGGGATTGACATTTTCCAACACAAAGCAGACTTCCTGCCCAGTATTCACGTAGATTAATATTGTCAACCATTAATTGTAGGGCTTGTTTAGCCAAGAGCGGCAGCGAATGTAGGACAGTAGGTTGCATTGCAAAGTTACAATTAATGTCAGGTCCTTCAGTGACTGTGTGACTCCTTTCATGTATTCCCTTCTCAGGATTTTCTCTTCTTTTCCCTCCATTAGGCTGTTGAGTTGTTGAGACCTGGAGGTACGCTGGTTTACAGCACATGTACTATCACTTTAGCTGAAAATGAAGAACAAGTCGCCTGGGCTCTGAAAACCTTTCCCTGCCTCCAGCTTCAAGCGCAGGTAACGGAAACGCAGCAGTGTGTGGTCTGCATTCTTTCTACGCATACCAGAGAATGACAGCTATACAGAGAGACAATGAAGATAGAAGTATGGGAGCTCTTGTGGCCAATTTGTTTGTAAATGTTCAGGCTCCAGGGCTGTTATCTTGACCACTATCTAGGGAATTGGTGACTTGGAACAAGTATGCAGCCAGTGATGTTCGAAAGTCTCAACTTCCATCCTGCTATTCTTGCAGGATGTTTACTGACTAGTGATGCCAGGATGTTGGTAAGTGTCTGTGGCAATGGTCCTTGAGCTTCTGTCCATGGGAAAATGCAACTTGTTTTCAGGTGCATTCAGTTTGCATTTGAGATCAGTTTGAAATCATTCACAGTCACAAGTACATTTCACCTAATTCTAAGCTGCATCAACCTGCTTCAAGTTGCTTTTGCCTTTCCGTTGACTTGTATATGGAGAGAAGCAGTTCTGACGCCAACAAAAGCCCATCAAACGCTGGTCCTAACAGCCCTGGAATCTGTTTGATTAACTGTTGTGCCTAGTATTGCATTTTGCACATGCCCAATAGTATGCACAGTAACTAACCTCTTCAAAACCATTCAGCAATGGACCTGTAAAGTTATTCTGCATTTTAATGTCCCACCATACTGGCACAAATGATTATCACATTCATGTTTCAAATAATAAACGCACCAAAGATATTTTTATGCACAAGCTCAATACAATCATCCTAAAAACAGGGCCCATGGAAGAGGCTGCAGGGACACAATAGTAACCTTGCGGCCACCAGATCATACCACAGCATACTGCATGATATGTAGGCATCCAACACATCTGGAAGATCCTAGTGGTGGGTTTAATTCTGCAAGAGAACATAGATTGGAATCATGGTTGTTGGGAGTGGTAAGTATTATGAAAACATAAGAACACTTTCACAATAACGTGCATTTATCATCTTTGCTCCTTTGGCTTGACCTAATCTAACTCTACCCACCTCCTCCACAGATGCATACTTACCTCTATCCAGTGGTTGCAGCCTCCAGTGTTACATCCGGCGTCGCAAGTCCCTCTCACCTGGCTGCATCTTGGGGCTAACGACAAAGAAGGGAGAGGGCCCCTATAGAAGTCTATAAGGCTGTAATGTACGGGGGTGCAGCCAGGAGATTGAAGAGTTGCAGCACAGGATGTAAACAAACACTAGAGGGTGCGGCTTTGGGATCGAGGAAGTCAGGGAAAAAGTGCAAAAATAATAAATTCCCTTTTGTTTTAAAGCGCACTTCTCCTTTAATATATTTTGAAACTAAAAGCACGCCATGAACTATTTTCTTACACCTCTAACGTGTGTGGAACTACTCAACAGCAGGGATGAGCTCAGGTTTAAACCGAATACAGTCTGAATCTGACCTCCTCATCCTCCACAAGGAAGTGCTATCCACCCAATCAGCTGAGGGCTGGGCATTCCCCGCCCCGCAGCTGCATGTAAACCAAGGAGCAGGATGCTTGTGCTAACATTATTTACCTTATATGGCCACATAGCCATCCTAGGTAAATGTAAGTTACCAAATATAGGCATGTAGCCATATAAGGTCAATGACATCACTGCATCCCGATGCTTCCCCGTCAAGCTGGGGGCAGAGAATTCCCTGCCCTCAGCTGTCTGGGAGGCATGGAGGAAGCTCCCTTCCCTGCTCGGAAGGAGCTCCTTTCAAGTTCAGAGGAGATTAGGTTTGGCCCGAGTTCAGTCTGATCCTGAGCTCATCTCTACTTAACGTGTGTAAAGGAATTGACATGACAACCATTAAAGTGCAAAAAGTGGGTGGGGTCAGGAGGATATTGCACCGAGAGGAATCCTGCGTAAGAGATGGTCATTGACGTTCACAATGTTGCACTGCGTTATCCCACATGCATTATGCAGCACATTAACTTTCATTACATTAAGGAGACCCATTGGATAGGCGCATTGGGATGCCATGCATGATAAAGGGTGCCTGGTGTAAACGGGTCCTATATAGAAGTGAGTGGATGATAGACACAAATAAATCATGTGATTTATTCCATTCCTTTGTACATATATCAATTCTTTATTATTTCTATTTTTAACAGGCTCCACACATAGGAGGGGAAGGCATGCCCGGCGCTGGGTTGTCCCCGGACCAGTTGAAACTCCTACAGCGGTTTGACCCATCAGCCACTGAAATATCGGTCTTGGATGCAAACAAGTTGAAGTCGGATGACGACCTCGTCGCACTCGCAAATTCCGATACCATCGGCTTCTTCATAGCCAAATTTCTCAAAAAGTCCTGACCTACATTTTTATATGGCGGTGACTACGCGCAGTGAAGTAATACGATCTTGAAGTGCCGGGCTCATTAGGCCTTACTGTTACTATGGCAACAAATGAATACCTCTGTAACCATGGAAGCAGACTGACTGCCAGCTGTTCGTGTTGCAGCCGACTACTGCAGAGATGGGTAAAGAGTTACCAGGGGGATTTCATATGCAGTTTTTTT